ACACATGTTATTAGCATCTGATTTCAATTTAGCACCTTCGAAGATAAGTTAACCCAAGATTAAAAACTGAACCGAATCTCAACTTCCATTATAATATCATGTCACTCGTAAATTGACATTTGACAGCTTTCAAACTCGCGAGAAGAGCGGTTCAAGCACGGTTTTCAAGGCGGTGCGATGTCACACCGGACTTTTTTGGTCACACTTGTTAATTTTTGGCCCCGAGGTTCGATCCGTCTAGGAGAGGGAAGGCATTTATCGGAAGATGTTGTGGTGCACGAATTTGAATTAAAATTTCGCGCTGAAAAAAATTTACAACGGCGCGAAATCGCATCTGAATAATTTGAATTAAAAAAAAATCAATCAAGAAAATCGTTAAATTTAGGCAACCATGTGCACGTTTAGTTCTTTTTGGGTAGTTGATAGCTCTCCTAGGGGAATTTGTGGGGGAGTATATAGTGAGAGGGGTGCTATTTTGTTTTAATAAGTGAAAATACACGGTAAGGGAGCTAGCTTAAATTTAGTTGGTTTGGTAGTTAATAAAAAAGGGAAAGCCTTTGTTTAAATATGTGAATTTTCGACCGAAGCTAACACGTGGTGTGAATTTGTTTTATTGTTTGTAAATTCACAGTTCATGTTAGGATTTTAATCGTTAACTGATTCTAATACAATTTAACAGTCAGGAGTTGTTTAGTTACAGTATTTCCTAGAAGATTTCATGAGATTCACTTAGTCAGGACTCATCGTTTGTTTACCAAGTTAGGAATAAGGTTTCTGGATGCTTATACTTAAGTGTTACATTATAACACTTCTTAATTCCTCACACAAGATTGCTAATAGTTCATTTACGGTAGTTAAATCAACCAGACATTTTTAATTTAGCTCACAATTTTAGCCTCAGTAATTTGCTTTACTATATAATTTAAATTGAACATCAATTTTCTTGCTTTTCAGTTCCTAACCTCACGTAACATTTTTGTCTGCACAAGTTTTATTTCACACCAGATCTTTTTTTTGTTTTTATAAATCTTTGCTAGTTTTTTTTAACATGTAAATATTTTGTTGATCTTAATCTTAATCTCACATAATTCTTTGCTGCTTAAAAATTTCACGAGAGTGTATGGCGAATTTAAATTTTGTTTATTGCTCTTTTTGAATCTTTAAGACTTGTTGAGTTGTCATTTAATATCAGAGTCATAGATTTTGAACATTTAAATGGAATTGAGGTAAATAACACAGAAACACGTGGCGGAAGCGGGGTGCGCGGTTCCTTGTCGAGCTGGCGGTCGCGCCATCTGCACAAGGGATGCAGTCAGGGGCGGTCGGGATGATGTGACGCTGTCGGCTTGACCCAATCGCCGGGACTCAACCACGAGTTTTATTAAATTTGTGATTTTCAAATATTTGCATTAATTCATTTAGTTAGGCACGTTTTTTTTTTGTAGCTGAGTGAGAGGTGTCTTCAACCGGCACAGCTTAGTCGCAGCTTCTTTTTTCCTTTTTTTTTGTCAGTGGAGGAATATGATTTTGTGTCCTTCATATATTTTGTGTTTTATTTAGCGGTACTTTTCCTACTTTGGGGTCCACCACTTGCATCTGGACGCATTCCGCCACACAAAAAAAAAACACAATGTAGGGTCCCATTTTGGGGTTCCATTTTGTCAGACGATCACAGCCAAGGCCAAATTTTTGAATTTTTGGCGGGGTTTTTAATTTTTTTATTCACATGTCAATTTAAGGCGGGATGTTTGGGTTATCACAATGTGTAGTGTTTTTTTTAAAACAAGAAAGGTAAAATATGTTTAAAATGGTAAATTTTTGAAGGAAAATATCGATTTTGCAATTAGGCCCCTCCCCTCGGTTTAACAACAAATGAAAAATTCGTCACATTCGTCTTAGTATAACATGATTACTTAAGAACATATTTCCCATGGTAATTTCTCAAAGAAAAAGAAGGAAGGACGAATAAAAAAAATCATCAGGATTGAGACAGGGCGGGTGGGCGGGGCTTATATTTTTTTTATTTTTTTTTTCTTAATATGCATAACCATCTTTTCACAACAAGAAACTTAGAACATGGTTAACATGGTACATTTTTGCAAGGAAATATGGATTTTGCAATTATGGGGCAAAATGTAAACCCTCCCACCCGCCCTATCTTAATTATGTTGATTTTTTTTATTCGTCGTAAACCAAGCTTATCTGTAAAATACTTATTTCTTTACAAGAAATTAAAAATATCTATAAACATATACAACGCCCACCCACCCCTTCTCAACTGTGATGATTTTTTTATTCTCAGTAACTTAAAACACGTTTAAAATGGTAAATTTTGGTAAGGAAATATGGATTTTGCCAACGAAAGAAAACTTCATTCCTATTTAGATCAGGTCAGGTATGGGTAGGGCTTAATCTTTGGCTTTAATTTTTTCTTAATACACAGAGTATTCTTTGAATAAGACGATACTCAAAAACATGTGTTACATGGTAATTTCTTGTAGAGAAATAATAAAAATTTTGCAATTAAGTTCCGCTCCTTTGTCTCTCGACGTTTAAAAAAAAATCATCACAATTGAGACGGGGCTTATATTTTGGCTTTTGTCTTAATATACGTAGTCGTCTTTTCAGAACAAGAAAGTTAAAAATTTACACATTTTTAACTTTCTCGTAAAATCTTGTAGACAAATATGGATCTTGCAATTAAGCTCCACCCCTCGATCCTGCAACGAATGAAAAATTCATCACAATTGAGAATTAAGATCGGAATCGGGTATGGGTGGGGCCTAATCTTTGGCTTAATTTTTTTCGTAATATACGTAGTATTCTTTAAACAACACGATTCTCAAAAATATGTTTTTAATTTCTCGTGCAGAAATAAGGATTTTGCAGTTAAGCTTCGCCTTCTTGGCTCACGACGAATAAAAAAAATCATCACAATTGAGATAGGGTGGGTGGGCGGGACTACGTTTTTCTTTTTTTTCCTTGATTTCTGTAGACTTATTTCTACAACAAGAAACTTAAATCCTCCACTTTTCTTCTACGGTCCCTTTAAAAACGGCAAAAGTTGAACATGAAAGTTACTATCAACGGGAACTTTAACGTCAACAACAAGTTTATAAATCCAACTTATGACTGGTAACACCACGAGAGGAGTATATTGTGGTTATGTAACCAACCTTCCAACACCATGCTCAAGTTTTGAAGCGCCCGCTTTACAGTGTTACCACTTGCTAACATGGTGATTTCCATTTCTTCAGCTTGGTGTTCTGTCTTTTTTGAATTTCGGTATATACTAAAAGTTTGTCTAACTAACCGTAAAAATCTAGTACAAATTAGATCTTGAATTTTTTGAAAATTTGCCCTCTTAGTTAGAGCCACAATTTAAAACTTTGAGTTATTTCTCTGATCGTAAATTTAAGGTTAATAATAACAACAATAATAAGTTGTTTGAATTCTGTAGTGCTGATTTTGAGTTCTGTTTTTGTCAAATTTAATCTCAAAAAAATGTAGAACTTTTGCAGACAAAAAAGGACGAGTTTTCTTCATAAGTTTAACGACAATAACTTGTTGGACGGCGTGTTTTCGTATGATTCATCTTCTCTTGATATTTTGTTAGCCTACAGAGCTGCTAAATATTTCAAAGTCATAAAAAGAAACAATCTCTTTCTACAACCTTTAACATTCCAATAACCTTCATGTCTCCATAGGTTCCACATAGTTAATTGACTCCTGTAAAAATTTCATGTTATCTTAAGCACGCATACCGAACGAGTAAGTTTTAACTGAAAATGGCGAGTTTACTGGTGTTTATTGCTGTTTTATTTATTAAAAAATCGTTTTGTGACATAAAAACAGAAATATTAACTCCAAAATTTAATACTTTGATTTCTTAAACGTGTCTAAATTTTTTGAATGGTTTTAATTTAAATATAGTTTAATTGATCACTTAAACACCAACAATGTATATAGTGCGAGTCACGGTGTAAGTGTTCTTATTAAGTAACAGGTTATGGGCCCAGTCAGTACCGGAAACCGGCCGCCTCCCCATGATCCGAAGCAGTTCCGTCCAGTGAGACCGCAAAATCTAATCATCAAAATTCCAAAAACAACATATTTTTTTCAAAACGCCAATGTCGCTGACAAAACTAAATTTTACGAGAAATATAGTTAAAACCAAATAAAATAAAGAATTGCCGGTACTCCAAGAGGTATTACAGCAAACGGATTATTTTTTAAATTTTCACGGTCTATTTGATGCTAAAACCTTGCGCAAACTTTGTTTCATTTCACAACGGTCAGAGTATTAGCGGAGTATGTTTAGCTTCAACCATAACAATGTAGAGTACAAACACTAAAAACAAGTTTCATGAATGAATCCGTAGACAAGGTTGTTGTGTTTTTTAAGCGTCGGAATGTTGTTATTGTTAAACAAAAAATAACCTTTGTTTAGAAGTATTTCATTATTATTACTGTTTTGGAAAATTTTATTTCCTCTAGCAATAGAACAACTCAAAATAGATAAGAATGTGTTTTAATTACCACAAACATCTGCAACGCTATCAATAATTTTTTGTTATTCAAATGAGCATGACCGACATAAAACGGATTTTAACTGCACCTCTTAAAAATATAAATTGAACACAATAAATCCATTAAGTAGACTAAAATATGAAAGTGAGTGGGCCAAGCGCAATGATTAATCATGCCAAAATGTGGCCGTTTTTACAAAACCTAAAACCCACAAAGTGCTCCACTTCTCGAATATGAAAGCTAACAATAACCTAAACCATTAGATGAATTTAAGAAACAAGTCGAAATTGAAACTGACGTCTGCATTATAAAACACTCTCGTTTACACAAGAGTTCATTAAAAATAATCTACTTTCAATACTTTCATTGTACAAAAATTAAAATTCACCGCACTAATTACTATCAATGCAAAGAAACACTTTCGAAATTTAGATGAACACAAACATTTCCACCAAATTAAACTACAACAATAAAAAAATATAGTCATTTATTTAAATATTTGGTTTACAACAGTTCTAATTCATCGTGTCTATACCCCCGTCTTTTCGAACACAAAAAACACCTATAAGACACAAACGAAAACAATACAGTGCATGCAAAAACAAGAAAAACGATTCCAAAAATTAAAACCCCACTAATACTTCTCGTTTCGTGTTGGATTAAAATTCTCTCCGACATTTCCTCACAGTAAATTCCATCTACGTTCTGTCTATCGTATTCAAATTCCTCGTTGATATTAAAACTAATGTCCTTACTCTTAAGAAAGGTAATAATGATCGAAAGAATACTGCACGGCAATAGATTCGACTTAATGTTAATTACGCGAAGTGAAGGTAACAGCGAAATTAAACTAATCTGGAAGTTTTGCAATCGGTTTCCTGAGATATCAAGTACTTGGAGGTTGCGCAACGGCTCGACCAATTCATAATTTAAAACTTCGATAATATTGTTGGAGATATTCAACACCTCGAGATTCTCTAGGTCGCTGAAAGTTCGCTGGTCCAGAACAGGACCTAATTTGTTTCCAGAAATGTCCAACACTTCCAAATTTGTTAGTTTGTTGAAGGTGCCAAAGGGGATTTTTTCTAAACTGTTGTTTCTGATGCTGAGGTGTTGCAGGTTTGATAAATTTTCGAACGGTTGATCACTCAGTGTTAGTTTGTTATTAGACAAATCTAAAATTTCGAGAGAAACAAAATTTTTGAAGACTCCTACAGGAATATCACCAATTTTGTTACCACGTAGAAGTAGTTTCTGGAGTTTAGGTAAATTACTTAAGTTGATGAGGCTTCTGGATCCTAGTTTGTTGTTAGATAAATTTGCTTCTTCCAGTGAAGAGAGATTTTGCAAATGGATCTGCCTTAACAAGTTATTTTCTAAGTCAATATGTCTTAAATTAACTAAATTGGTGAAGGCTTTTGCGTCCACAAATTCAAGTGAGTTATTACGAAGATTAAGTTTTTCTAACTCATCTAACATCTCAAATATTTCTGCACTAATATTCTTCAGTCTGTTATTCGATAAATCTACGTGTTTTAAACCCAACGCCCAATCAAAAACCCCGACTCTCGTGATTTCGTTGTAACTCAAATTCAGCTCCAACAAATTAAAATTCGACCTAGTTTGGTGATAAAAATCATCCCCGTGGTAATGAATGTCGTAGTCCCGTCCATTCAGCTTGAAATCCGATTCGTGCTCCTTCTCAAAACAAATCAGAAAATTATCATCAATTTGTCCAATTTTGTTGTGGTCTAAATCCAGAAACTTCAACGCCGGTAGTTCGCAGAAAGGAATATCAAACAAACTTTTGAAATAGTTATGTGATAACTTTAGAGTTTCCAGATTTTTCAGCACCGTGAAACTGTCATTCCTCACTAGTCTGAGACTACAGTTGATCAAATTCAGTTCTTTCAGATGATCCAAACCCCCCAGCACTGACCCGCTGATGATATCAAACCGCGTATTGGCCACCGTGAGGTGTTCTAACCTTATCAATTTGCTGAAAACCTCGTCTCTCGGATCAAACAAGAACGTCGAGTTGGTTATTGACAGGTATCTAATTCTAGGAACACACGTAAACACGTCTGGCGTCACTTTGGTGAGGCTGGAGTTGTTGATCTTGAGTACGATCTCGTTCGAGACTGATATGTTGCTGAGCATTTTCTCGTCGGTGAGGTCTTCGCAGGTGATATCGATGCCGTAGCCATAGTTGTCGTGGTAGTTGAGTTCTTTGTCGCAGTGTGTTGCTAGTGAGGCTCCAATGAGGTACACATAGAGTAGAAGCAGGGTGGTGGCCATTTCATCTGGAAAAAGAAAATTGGGTTATCGATGGGTTTTTGTATGTGAGGCTTACGGGTGTTTTTATCGCTTTATGGAAGTGCGCTGGTGTTATGAATGTATATTGTTTGATAGAGGCACTTAGCATAATAATGGTGTGGTATGCGTATGTCACGATTAGCCTATCGGTTGATATTGCACTAAGTAGGTAATAATGAGTAGCTTCGTTTCATTGTTAGTTAATTGGTTTCAGGGAAAAGTGTCGCAAAAAAATTGATTTGCTAGTATATTTTTTGTTCATGTTTTCTTTTTTTCAAATATGTTGGTATGGTAAATAAATGCTGTGATTAAAAAAGAAACTACAAAATTTACTTTGTTGTTAGTAAAGTAAATTAAAAAAAAATGAGTAACCTGAAAACTGTCTTTCAGGTTACAAAACACTGGGATGACTAGTTTTCAGTGCATCTGACCAAAATTTTAGAAGATTTAGAGCTTTTTTGTCTTTACAAAATTATTTCTTTAAATTACATACCATGTGTAGGTGTATGTTTAAATTTGCAATATATTTTAATGTTTATGAAATGCCTAAAAATAGTATTTTTTTTTATATATAAACTAATAACTCGTTTAAACTCCAATCACAAACTCTTAAGGTTAGTTTTATAGTCAAAAGTTGGAGGACCTTTAACTAATGGGAGCTTTAAACCACTGTGTCAACACTGTGTTTCCATGGTAAAAACCCAACATTAATTTTAAAGCTCTCGATTATGAAATCGGCCCTTAAACTGATAAGAACACAAAACTCCGCGATTTTTTCAAATTACTTCAAAAACAAGATAAGGAATCCCCGAGACTCATTCAAACTACTTCAAAAACAAAACACAAGAAATCTCCGAGATTCTTTTAAATTACTTCAAAAACACGACCCACAATAGGACTCCGAGATTCTTTCAAATTACTTCGAAAACAAGATAAGGGATCGCCGAGATTCTTACAAACTAGGTACTTTAAAAACAAAGCACAAGGGGTTCCCTGGATTTTTTCAAATTACTCCAAAAACAAGACAAGGTCTCCTTAAAATTCCTTGAAACTACTTCAAAAACAGAACACAAAGGGTCAAAGCGATTCTCTCAAATTACTTTAAAAACAATGCTCTCAGGGATTCCCGTGATACTTTCAAACAACTTCAAAAACAAGAAAAGGTTTCCTGGAGATTCTTCCAAACTACTTCAAAAACAAAACACATGAGTTTCACGAGATTCTTTCAAATTACTTCAAAAACAAGACCCATAGGGGAACCCCGAGATTCTTTCAAATTACTTCGAAAACAAGATAAGGAATCCCCGAGACTCATTCAAACGACTTCAAAAACGAAACAAACGGGAGCCCTGAGATTTTTTCAAACTACTTCAAAAACAAAACACACGGGATTCCGAGATCCTTTCAGATTACTTCAAAAACAAAACCCACAGGGGGACCCCGAGATTCTTTCACATTACTGCAAAAAGAAGACCCACAAGAGGACCCAGAGATACTTTCAAACTACCTCAAAAAGAACCCACAAAGGGTTCCCCGAGATTATTTCAAATTACTTCAAAAACAAGACCTACTGGGTGACCCCGAGAGTCTTTCAAACTACTGCAAAAATAAAATACAAGGGATCCTCGAGATTATTTCAAATTACTTCGAAAATAAAATACAAGGGACCCCTGAGATTCTTACAAACTAAGTATTTCAAAAACAAAGCACAAGGGGTTCCCTAGATTTTTTCAAATTATGTACTCCAAAAACAAGGCAAGATCTCCTTAAAACTGCCTTCAAACTTCTTCAAAAACAGAATACAAAGGGTCAATGCGATTCTCTCAAATTACTTCAAAAACAAAACACAAGGGATTCCGAGATTCTTTCAAATTACTTCAAAAACAAAACCCACAGGGGACCCCGAGATTCTTTCAAATTACTTCAAAAACAAGACCCAGAGGACCCAGAGATACTTTCAAATTACTTCAACAAAACACAAAGAATCTCCGAGACTCTTTAAAACTACTTCAAGAACAAAACACAAGGGATCTCCGAGATTCTTTCAAATTACTTTAAAATTACTTCAAAAACACAACCCACAGGAGAATCCCGAGATTCTTTCAAATTACCTCGAAAACAAGATAAGGGATCCCGAGACTCATTCACTCTACTTCAAAAACAAAACACAAGGGTCCCCGGGATTCTTTCAAATTACTTCAAAAAGAAGCCCTACAGGGAGACCCCGAGACTCTTTCAAACTACTGCAAAAACAAAATACAAGGGATCCTCGAGATTCTTTCAAATTACTTCGAAAATAAAATACAAGGCGCCCCTGAGATTCTTACAAACTAGGTACTTCAAAAACATAGCACAAGGGGCTCCCTAGATGTTTTCAAATTATGTACTCCAAAAACAAGACAAGATCTCCTTAAAACTGCCTTCAAACTACTTCAAAAACAAAACAAACGGAATTCCTGAGATTCTTTCAAACTACTTCAAAAACAAAACAGAAGGGATTCCGAGATCCTTTCAAATTACTACAGAAACAAAACCCACAGGGGGACCCCGAGATTTTTTCAAATTACTTCAAAAACAAGACCCACAGAACCTAGAGATAATTTCAAACTACTTCAAGAACAAAACACAAAGAATCTCCGAGATTCTTTCAAATTACTTCAAAAACATAACCCACAAGGGAACCCCGAGATTCGTTTAAATTATTTCAAAAACAGGACCCACAAGGGGATTCCGAGATACTTATAAACTACTTCAAAAACAAAACACAAGGTATCCCTGAGATCCTTTTAAATTGCTTCAAAAACAAACCCAACAGGGGGACCCCGAGATTCTTTCAAATTATTTCAAAAACAGGACCCGTAAGGGGATCCCGAGATACTTTCAAACTACTTCAAAAACAAAGCACAAAGGGTCTCCGAGATTTTTTCAAATTACTTCAAAAACAAGACCCACAGGACCCAGAGATACTTTCAAACTACTTCAAAAACAAAACACAAAGAATCCCCGAAATTCTTTCAAATTACTTCAAAAACACAACCCACAGCCGAACCCCGAGATTCTTTCAAATTACCTCGACAATAAGATAAGGGATCGCCGAGAGTCTTTCAAACTTCTTCAAACACAAAATAATCTCAAAGGATCCCCTAGATTCTTTCAAATTACTTCGAGAAGAACATAAGGGATCTCTGAGATTCCTCAAACAACTTTAAAAATAAAATGCAAGGGATCCCCGAGACTCTTTCAAACTACTTCAAAAACAAAACACAATGAAACTCCGAGATTCTTTCAAATTACTTCAAAAACAAGACCCACAAGAGGTCCCCGATCTTCTTTCAATGTACTTCAAAAACAAAGCACAAAGGGTCCTCGAGATTTTTTCAAATTACTTCAAAAACAAGACCCACAGAACCTAGAGATAATTTCAAACTACTTCAAGAACAAGACACAAAGAATCCCCGAGATTCTTTCAAATTACTTCAAAAACACAACCCACAGGGGAACCCCGAGATTATTTCAAATTATTTCAAAAACAGGACCCACAAGGGGATCCCGAGATACTTTTAAACTACTTCAAAAACAAAACACAAGGTATCCCTGAGATCCTTTCAAATTACTTCAAAAACAAACCCCACAGGGGGACCCCGAGATTTTTCAAATTATTTCAAAAACAGGACCCGTAAGGGGATCCTGAGATACTTTCAAACTACTTCAAAAACAAAGCACAAAGGGTCTCCGAGATTTTTTCAAATTACTTCAAAAACAGGACCCAGAGATACTTTCAAACTACTTCAAAAACAAAACACAAAGAATCCCCGAGATTCTTTCAAGTTACTTCAAAAACACAACCCACAGGGGAACCCCGAGATTCTTTCAAATTACCTTGATAACAACATAAGTGATCGCCGAGAGTCTTTCAATCTTCTTCAAAAACAAATCACAAGGGATCCAATAGATTCTTTCAAATTATTTCGAGAACAAAATAAGGGATCTCTGAGATTCCTCAAACAACTTTAAAAATAAAATGCAAGGGATCCCTGAAATTCGTTCAAACTTCTTCAAAAACAAAACACAAATAAAATCCGAGATTCTTTCAAATTACTTCAAAAACAAGACCCACAAGAGGTCCTCGAGCTTCTTTCAAAGTACTTCAAAAACAAAACACAAAGCGTCGTCGAGGTGTTTTCAAATTATTTCATATTACTTCAAAAACACAACCCACAGAGGAACTCCGAGATTTTTTCAAATTACTTCGAGAACAAAATAAGGAATCCCTGATTTTCCTCAAACAACTTTAAAAACAAAACACAAGTAATTCCCAAGATTCTTTCAAATTACTTTAGTAGCGACAAATTTTATATACATACTTTTTTTGTAGATAACATGCGCCCCTAGATAAAACACAAAGTACTTTTATACGTAAAAACTGCTGCCCTGTTTCGTACAGTAACTTCATCAGGTAGACAAATGTTGTCTAAAAAAGCAGCATTTTATTAAAAAGAAGAAATATGTTATCAGCCTAGTGAAGGTAGTTGTTAGGCCGAAATTATTTCAAACTCGTTTGGTTTATCAATTTAAAAATGTAAAAAATAAATATTCTGAAAAATTTTAGAAGTTCTAAGCTGATAAAAGTAACATTATTTCGCACTTATTTATCAAAAAATGTTAAATGTTTATAACGATAAAAATTCAAACACTTTAAAAAAAAAATTGTGAATACACCTATAAGAATGCGAACGAATTCTGCTTGAAAAAAATTTCATGAAAATCAAACATTTTTTTATTTTTTTACTAAGTAATTAACTTTTATTTTAACTTTACCAATTTTCAAATTTAGTTATTTTATTTTTGAAAATTTCATTTTCTTTAGACTTCAAGTTCAAGTTACAATCGTTAACTTTCTTTATGTTTATTTCTTGAACTGAATGCGATAATTATTTATTAATATTTATTTATATAAACTGTAACAAAGTTCAAAATTTTGTTCCTGATTGTCCGAATTTAAAAATCTTCGAAAAATTATAATTTTGCTAGGTATAACTGTATACAGAGTGACACAACTAATGCGCTGTCATCGATATCTTATTACTGATAATAAAAATAGAAACAAAATCGCCACCAAAACTATGGGATTTTTTTAAGCGACACACTAAAATTAATTTCAAATACACAAAGTTTTCTGTTTTTAAGGCGCAATTTGAACAATGAAAACACTAAAAATATTGACAAACAAATCGCACTTGCTTTATTTTTGACACTGTATATCAAAACAATATAATATAAAAGTGTTTACAAAAATAAAAATTCTAAAATATTTTGGATTTTAGATGTTTTCTAGACGTTTCATATAGGGTGCACTGTCTGAACAAATTGCGACAGGAATACTTGAAAATTGTATAAACACTCTGTAGATTTAGTTACGTAAGTAAGTTTTATTGATACTAAAACAAAGTGAGCGTCTTTCTTTATCTCCGTATAAATAAATATTAGATACAACAGGTACAAGTATTAAAAATAACGCTATTTACATTCTTAAGCTTTTATCTTGTTAAAAAAAATTGTTTTTTATTATTATTTAAATGTATGAAACAGTTGGAAATAACAAAAAAATGTATTAAATTTTCTGAAATTGTATTCTAAATATTATATTACCTAATTGCGAAAGCATCAAAATAAAAATAAGGAACTTACTTTTTAAAAATAAAATGTTGTGCGGAAGATAGAGGTTTTTTATTTTCTGTTTTATCCTACCGGGTTTGTTTTTCAGTTGTCAAAACCAGGAAACAACACAATCCTGTACGTTTTACATACGCAAGAGAAATCAGGTGCATGCCTTTAATTACATGTCTATAAAGTAAAAATTGAAAATAAAATCTCACCTGATTATAAAAAAAATTACCGTATTTTTTTGTTACGTTCACGCTCACCCAAATCCAAAATGTTAGAATTTTCTAAAATACATTTTCTAATTCTCGCAAAAACCGCCAGCAACGATTTTTACCACGTTTCACTTCAGTACACCGCTTTAACACCCATATCAAAAAAGAATTTAAAAACAAATACACCGTTTCAAAATTTATGCAAAAGCAATACATATTTATTATATGCTAAATAAAGTCTTATCATTTTTACTTACAAACAACCCACGTGTATGGACAAACCCGTGCAGACTCGAAAACATGTCTAGTAAGCGAACAATTCGCTGATATATCATTTACAGCATGTTCATTGACATTTAGAAAATATTTCCGCCGCAGCGTCAAAATTCCTCCACACACGTCTTTTTTGTTTTCACTTGACTCGTTAAACTTGAGTGACTTACCTTCCCAAATAAGATCCTCTGGCCTCACCGCACTAAAAGCACATGCTTACTCAAAACACATTTTTTACGTAACGCTTAACAATGAATTACTTTATTATCGCGGACTTAGACATTATAAATAATTCCATTGGCTGATAGCGCGCGACGTTAGTCCTAACACACCGTCGTCCGTTTGGAAAGTAACACCTAGCCCCGCAGACAAGAAATAAACTCCGCCAAGTAAAAACCGACCGAAACAGAAACTTTCATTTAGCGTTAAAAAATGTTTCGCCAATTATTTCTTGTTGCATTAAGTGCACTCAGTCATATTCGATCGAGCCGAGAGAAACGCACAAAACAGGTTTTAATTTTTTAGGGGACATGACGTCACTAATATTTTTTTAATTGCAACCATAATTTTTATACATATTTTAATTGTGCACCTTGTACATTTTTTCAGTAATTTATAGCGCTCTAAAATTGTTTTAAGATCAAAATTTTGACAGCGAAAGTCAAAATTCATATATTTGTTGTATGCAAGTTACGGACGCCCTATATATAGATGTCAAAACACGGATTAACAAAAATGTATTTACGCGTTTCGTGGATGGCAAATATACATAGTGTCAAGGTTAACTGATAAGTCAACAACTTAAAAAATTAAACTGCTCCAAGGAAAACATTAATAAACATAATGGTCCCCCTAATGATTAATGACATAAAAACTAACATGATAAGTGAATGCAAAAACTGCAAGATAACAAGTGTCAAAAGAATCTTAATGAATTTTTTTTTATTCCAGTCATTTTAAAGGAAGAAACAGGACAAACTCACGTTTTACAATGGATAAACAAAATTTTTGCTTCTCAAGATGACTTTCAACTAGAACCCATCGTTGTAGATCTTAGTGGAGAGGAAACAGATCGGGATAAAGGTAAGTCAAACTTGATCAAACATTAGGAAGAAAAAAAATTTCAGTGTGCGAAATTTTGCCCAACGATGGTACCCTAATCATCGATTTGACGTGGTCTGGAAACGAAGAAGCGGAAAAAGTGGCCGTGGAAACCGGAATTCCATACGTCAAGATAGACGTTTCAATTAGTCCTTCGTTGCTCCTTCTAGACAAATTTCTAGAATATAGAAACTCCACAGACGTGACTCTAATTTTTGACAACCCTAACAGTAACTGAAACGTTTCAAAACGACCGCAAAATAACTCAGTGGTTTCTAGAAGTAGACGAAGCCCTCTATTTCTGGATTGACACGACCCTTCTACGCATGGTGATATCAGAAAACCTAGACAAAACCTCTGCAAACAGACTCAAAAGCATTCGACCCATTCCGAACAATTTCGCCATTTTGGCGACAACTTCCAACATGGAAGAGCTTTTCGAAACGGTAACCCTTCCTTCGGGTTAGAAAACCCCTAATTCACGATTTCAGGCAGTTGAAGAAAATCTAGTAACGTTACCCGAGCGCTGGAATTTGCTTTTCCTAGATTTCCAACAAAAGGAATTCAATAGAGAACTAGTACGAAATTTACCCATCAATCTTCTGTACATAGAAGAAGAAATATGCTGCAAATTCCTCAAGACTGAGCAATGCGAGTGTCCGCACGATTTCAATTTGCAAGAAAATTTTCTAGTTCTAGCTACAGATTTAGTGAAGAGGGTTCTGCACACCATGGTTAGTGACGACGTTGAGCTTACGACAAACCTTAGTTGCGACAGTCGATACAATGAAGACGCCAGGAGCAAGTTCTACACACTTCTGCAACAAGAAGTAGATCTAGAACCGCTAATCTATAAAGAAAATTTTGGGTTGTATGTTAACATTGAAGGCACCATAGAAGCAAACTCGGAAAAAGTAGCTGAATATAATTACAAAACGGGAGTGACGGTTGTGGATGGCAAACAAATCAAACCCATTACCGCCTTCTATAGAATCGGGATAACCCATGTATGGTCTCCACGACACAAAGTACCCAAATCAGGTTAAATTTTAGGCTCTACCTTGGTCATACAAAGAAACCGACTCCTCTGGAAAATCGTACTGGACGGGGTACTGCGTCGACTTTACCGAAGAGCTAGCCAAAATTATGGGTTTCCGGTACGAGTTCGTCGAACCCAAGAAAGGTACTTTTGGGAAAAAGCGCAACGGGGTTTGGAACGGCGTGATCGGAGATTTAGCAACAGGGGTACCACCTTCTAAATTCTAGATTTTGGTCTTACTCACAATTTTAGGAAACCGATCTTGCAATAACCGCACTAATAATGACCGCGGATAGAGAAGAAGTGATTGACTACGTGGCACCGTATTTTGAACAAACCGGAATAACGATTGGTACTAGTCAAACTTAGTTTTACTAACCCAATCAAAACTTTGCAGTGATGCGAAAACCCGTCCGCAAAACGTCTTTGTTCAAATTTATGACAGTACTGAAGTTGGAAGTGTGGCTTAGTATAGTCGGAGCGTTGATTATCACAGGGTTCATGGTCTGGTTTTTGGACAAATATTCACCCTATAGCGCCCGAAACAACAAGAAAGCGTACCCTTATCCTTGCAGGTAGTACTTTTCTATACTTAGACGAAATAAAGGTCGTTTTTAGGGAATTTACACTGAAAGAGAGCTTCTGGTTTGCTTTGACTTCTTTTACCCCTCAAGGAGGAGGAGAAGCCCCTAAAGCTCTCTCCGGACGGACTCTAGTAGCCGCTTATTGGCTCTTCGTGGTACTTATGTTGGCCACTTTTACCGCAAACTTGGCTGCTTTTTTAACTGTAGAACGCATGCAGGTGACTCTTCACTCCAAATCATCTATCTCTGTAGCTAAAATTTGCAGACTCCTGTTCAAAGTCTAGAACAACTAGCAAAACAATCTAGAATCAACTACACGGTTGTCAAAGACTCCGACACCCATCAGTACTTCATCAACATGAAGCACGCCGAAGACACTCTATACAGAATGTGGAAAGAACTCACCTTGAATGCGTCCACAGACGATACGCAGTACCGCGTTTGGGACTACCCAATTCGGGAACAATACGGCCACATTCTTCTGGCTATAAATGATTCGAATCCGGTCACCACAGCCGCCGAAGGATTCAGAATCGTGAATGAGCACACAGATGCTGATTTTGCTTTCATTCACGATTCGTCTGAAATCAAGTACGAGATCAGCAGGAACTGCAACCTTACTGAAGTAGGTGAAGTGTTTGCCGAGCGACCTTATGCTGTGGCTGTTCAGCAAGGGAGTCACCTGCAGGACGAAATCAGCAAGACGTGAGTATTAGTATTTTGTTTTTTTGCAAATTTTTGATTGTTGAGCAGGATTTTGAATTTGCAAAAGGATAGGTTTTTCGAGCAGTTGCAAGGAAAGTACTGGAACCACACAGCTAAGGGGGGGTGTGCGAGTACTGATGACAATGAAGGGATAACTTTGGAGAGTTTAGGTAAGTATTTTGGTGGAAGTTGAGTTACATAGATGGTTTTTGGTTTTTTTTAGGTGGTGTTTTTATAGCGACGCTTTTCGGGTTAGCGCTAGCCATGATTACGCTGGTTGGTGAAGTTCTTTATTATAGAAGAAAGGGGAAAGTGGGTAGTTCGGATGCCAAAAAATCGAAACCTGGAGCAGGTGGTGACAACTGGAAGCAAACGAATTTGGTTCCTATCACCCTGGTTGATAAAGACAAGCAACCGATTACTTTTGGAACGGAGTTCAAACCTGTGACCAGAAATAGAGACTTGTCGGAATTGGGGCAGATTAGGTTGTATCCGAGATCTAGAAACAGAATTACCCAAGTAACAGACAAATAGAATGCATTTTTTTGAAAGTGAAATTAGTAGACGTTTAGTTTGTTTACTTTTAAGTATGATTACTAAGTTATATTTTAAAGTGCACTTAAACTTGACACGACACGATATAGTGGAATTTTAATTATATATCTTTAACTGTTGTTTTACTGAAGTAATTTGGGACAACAGCAACGTTATATATGTATCTAGAATAATATAGACAACACGTATTGTGTTAAAAATTAAATAGCCATTTCACACACCTGTAAATATTTTTAATAAAATTAGTGCACATGATCATTTCTCTAGAACGAAAGTTCCACTGTATTTGAATAAATGTAACTATGTAGTAAAAATAAACACAAATTGGTTTGTAATTATTATTATTGTAATAAAGCTAATAATAGTTTTTAAATTCTTGTCGCAGATCTAGAACACATGGTCTAAGTGACAACTAAAACCACTTTCACACAGAGCCTCATATGTAGAACATTTACTTTTACATAACGAGTGATCTCTCCTAAAACGGATGAGCACGTACCTATTAGATCATTGTTAAATAAGTTTGTTAAAAATCTACGTATTTCAAAAAATATTTGAAAAAAACAGAAAAAATTACACACAGTTTTACAACACCTTGCGTTTCATTTTACAGTTAAATAAGCGGAGATAGCGTCATAGACACGGTCCTCCAGTCTGACGACGACATCCCTGTCTCCTTCCAAAACCTCACTAGTCCAGTGAGCCGTGGCAACATTTAGGTAGTACCTAAATTTTGCCCTAATTCCGTTAGAAAAGACGTGCGTCACAGTGAATGGGAGCCATGACACGTCTTTGTTGCATTTGACTCTAATATTAACTGTGGCCTGAGCTGGAATTTGTAGATCTTGAAACTCGAGAAGAGGGCCCCTGGGGTCTACCCAATCGAATGGATCTACGTCTGTGACAACAGTTGAAATTATGTCGACGTTCAATGAGTTTTCAACCGAGAAGAAAATTTCTCGGTAGTTTACAGGCTGATACAAGAAAGCAAAGTTTAGTGGTAGGAGCAACGAAAGAGTGGTTGATAGTAACAAGTTTCTCATTTTATGTAGTTAGAACTGAAACCCTAAAAATAAAAAAAAAAAAATAAAAAGGACGAACATATCTTAACTTACCTTTGACTTGAAGAATGCCAACAAAAATCAACTGGAACATTTTTTATGCGACGATTTTGATGGGTTTGTGGGATTATAGTATTAGTAATTATGATCGATTGTGACTAGTGGCTTAAGTTTAAATTTTAAAATAAGACTTTTACTTGTGCAAATAATACCGAAAATCCTCAGAAATAAGTAACCGATAATATTTGGACAGTTTTATAAAAGTAATAATTGATTGTATTGTGTGATATAAATAGTTATTCATACGTAAAGGGGAAAAAAAATTGTGTCACCACTAACTTAGTGTTTTTGAGTTTATAGATTTCTTCTAGACTACGTAGGTTCAAGCTTAAATTGTAGGAATTGTAGCAGATAAGGAAAAATTAGAAATCTAACGGTGTTTTTGTTTTCCATATATGCATAGCGAGGTTAATTAAAATGATTATTTAATGGTAGATACACTTCTGGTGTTCAAGTCAGTGCAGCTAACAAATAAGGTATAGCAGTAAAAGTGATACAGCAATATAATTGCTTTCATCGCAGATCATCACATATTGTTATTTTGTTGGTTGCAAAAATTTAATTACATTTTAATAATATTTAAATCATACAAATAAAATCCCCTAATGGGAAACTTACACTCAAATCACTTACGCTTTTATACTTAATTAAAGTTCAATTATGAATTTTAAGTTGCATAATGTCAAACAAAGGCGACTAATTAGTGACAAATCTAATGAGATATTTGACCTTGCGCTATATTTTTGAAATTTCAAAAATTTTGTTGAAAATTGGTCGAAAATTGGGGTATTTACCATATTTTTTAATGTTTCAAAAGACGATTCTGGAAAAACCGTTGGAATTATCGATGAAATGAAAGCGGATATGACTTCTGCGGCCCGAAATTTACAAGCAAATGTATTAAGTGAAATTTAGAAAATTTTGATGAAAATTGGTGGAAAATTGGTCGGTAAATTGCATTAAATCTCTATTTCAAAGGGCGATTCTGGGAAAACCAATCGAGTTATCGAAGAATTGTTTGCAGAAGTGACTTCTACGGCCCGAAATCTACAAGAAAATGTATTTTGAAAAATTTCGAAAATTTTGATAAAAATTGGTGGAAAATTGGTCGGTAAATTGCATTAAATCTATATTTCAAAGGGCGATTCTGGGAAAACCAATCGAGTTATCGAAGAACTGTTTGCAGAAGTGACTTCTACGGCCCGAAATCTACAAGAAAATGTATTTTGAAAAATTTCGAAAATTTTGATGAAAATTGGTCGGTAAATTGCATTAAATCTATATTTCAAAGGGCGATTCTGGGAAAACCAATCGAGTTATCGAAGAACTGTTTGCAGAAGTGATTTCTACGGCCCGAAATCTACATGAAAATGTATTTTGAAAAATTTCGAAAGTTTTGATGAAAATTGGTGGAAAATTGGTCTGTAAATTGCATTAAATTTATATTTCAAAGGGCGATTCTGGGAAAACCAATCGAGTTATCGAAGAACTGTTTGCAGAAGTGACTTCCACGGCCCGAAATCTACAAGAAAATGTATTTTGAAAAATTTCGAAAATTTTGATGAAAATTAGTGGAAAATTGGTCGGTAAATTGCATTAAATCTATATTTCAAAGGGCGATTCTGGGAAAACCAATCGAGTTATCGAAGAACTGTTTGCAGAAGTGACTTCTACGGCCCGAAATCTACAAGAAAAAATATTTTGAAAAATTTCGAAAATTTTGATAAAAATTGGTGGAAAATTGGTCGGTAAATTGCATTAAATCTATATTTCAAAGGGCGATTCTGGGAAAACCAATCGAGTTATCGAAGAATTGTTTGCGGAAGTGACTTCTACGGCCCGAAATCTACAAGAAAATGTATTTTGAAAAATTTCGAAAATTTTGATAAAAATTGGTGGAAAATTGGTCGGTAAATTGCATTAAATCTCTATTTCAAAGAGCGATTCTGGGAAAACCAATCGAGTTATCGAAGAACTGTTTGCAGAAGTGACTTCTACGGCCCGAAATCTACAAGAAAATGTATTTTGAAAAATTTCGAAAATTTTGATGAAAATTGGTCGGTCAATTGCATTAAATCTATATTTCAAAGGGCGATTCTGGGAAAACCAATCGAGTTATCGAAGAACTGTTTGCAGAAGTGACTTCTACGGCCCGAAATCTACAAGAAAATGTATTTTGAAAAATTTCGAAAATTTTGATGAAAATTGGTCGGTAAATTGCATTAAATCTATATTTCAAAGGGCGATTCTGGGAAAACCAATCGAGTTATCGAAGAACTGTTTGCAGAAGTGACTTCTACGGTCCGAAATCTACAAGAAAATGTATTTTGAAAAATTTCGAAAATTTTGATGAAAATTGGTCGGTAAATTGCATTAAATCTATATTTCAAAGGGCGATTCTGGGAAAACCAATCGAGTTATCGAAGAACTGTTTGCAGAAGTGACTTCTACGGCCCGAAATCTACAAGAAAATGTATTTTGAAAAATTTCGAAAATTTTGATAAAAATTGGTGGAAAATTGGTCGGTAAATTGCATTAAATCTATATTTCAAAGGGCGATTCTGGGAAAACCAATCGAGTTATCGAAGAACTGTTTGCAGAAGTGACTTCTACGGCCCGAAATCTACAAGAAAATGTATTTTGAAAAATTTCGAAAATTTTGATGAAAATTGGTCGGTAAATTGCATTAAATCTATATTTCAAAGGGCGATTCTGGGAAAACCAATCGAGTTATCGAAGAACTGTTTGCAGAAGTGATTTCTACGGCCCGAAATCTACATGAAAATGTATTTTGAAAAATTTCGAAAGTTTTGATGAAAATTGGTGGAAAATTGGTCTGTAAATTGCATTAAATTTATATTTCAAAGGGCGATTCTGGGAAAACCAATCGAGTTATCGAAGAACTGTTTGCAGAAGTGACTTCCACGGCCCGAAATCTACAAGAAAATGTATTTTGAAAAATTTCGAAAATTTTGATGAAAATTAGTGGAAAATTGGTCGGTAAATTGCATTAAATCTATATTTCAAAGGGCGATTCTGGGAAAACCAATCGAGTTATCGAAGAACTGTTTGCAGAAGTGACTTCTACGGCCCGAAATCTACAAGAAAAAATATTTTGAAAAATTTCGAAAATTTTGATAAAAATTGGTGGAAAATTGGTCGGTAAATTGCATTAAATCTATATTTCAAAGGGCGATTCTGGGAAAACCAATCGAGTTATCGAAGAATTGTTTGCGGAAGTGACTTCTACGGCCCGAAATCTACAAGAAAATGTATTTTGAAAAATTTCGAAAATTTTGATAAAAATTGGTGGAAAATTGGTCGGTAAATTGCATTAAATCTCTATTTCAAAGAGCGATTCTGGGAAAACCAATCGAGTTATCGAAGAACTGTTTGCAGAAGTGACTTCTACGGCCCGAAATCTACAAGAAAATGTATTTTGAAAAATTTCGAAAATTTTGATGAAAATTGGTCGGTCAATTGCATTAAATCTATATTTCAAAGGGCGATTCTGGGAAAACCAATCGAGTTATCGAAGAACTGTTTGCAGAAGTGACTTCTACGGCCCGAAATCTACAAGAAAATGTATTTTGAAAAATTTCGAAAATTTTGATGAAAATTGGTCGGTAAATTGCATTAAATCTATATTTCAAAGGGCGATTCTGGGAAAACCAATCGAGTTATCGAAGAACTGTTTGCAGAAGTGACTTCTACGGTCCGAAATCTACAAGAAAATGTATTTTGAAAAATTTCGAAAATTTTGATGAAAATTGGTCGGTAAATTGCATTAAATCTATATTTCAAAGGGCGATTCTGGGAAAACCAATCGAGTTATCGAAGAACTGTTTGCAGAAGTGACTTCTACGGCCCGAAATCTACAAGAAAATGTATTTTGAAAAATTTCGAAAATTTTGATGAAAATTGGTGGAAAATTGGTCGGTAAATTGCATTAAATCTATATTTCAAAGGGCGATTCTGGGAAAACCAATCGAGTTATCGAAGAAATGTTTGCAGAAGTGACTTCTACGGCCCTAAATCTACAAGAAAATGTATTTTGAAAAATTTCGAAAATTTTGATGAAAATTGGTGGAAAATTGGTCGGTAAATTGCATTAAATCTATATTTCAAAGGGCGATTCTGGGAAAGCCAATCGAGTTATCGGAGAAATGTTTGCGAAAATGACTTCTCCGGCCCTAAATCTACAAGAAAATGTATTTTGAAAAATTTCGAAAATTTTGATGAAAATTGGTGGAAAATTGGTCGGTAAATTGCATAAAATCTATATTTCAAAGGGCGATTCTGGGAAAACCAATCGAGTTATCGAAGAACTGTTTGCGGAAGTGACTTCTACGGCCCGAAATCTACAAGAAAATGTATTTTGAAAAATTTCGAAAATTTTGATGAAAATTGGTGGAAAATTGGTCGGTAAATTGCATTAAATCTATTTTTCAAAGGGCGATTCTGGGAAAACCAATCGAGTTATCGAAGAACTGTTTGCGGAAGTGACTTCTACGGCCCGAAATCTACAAGAAAATGTATTTTGAAAAATTGTGAAAATTTTGATGAAAATTGGTAGGTAAATTGCATTAAATCTATATTTCAAAGAGCGATTCTTGGAAAACCAATGGAATTATCGAAGAACTGTTTGCGGAAGTGGCTTCTGCGGCCCTAGATCTACAAGTAAATCTATTTTTCAAAATTTCGAAAATTTTGATAAAAATTGGTGGAAATTGCATTACATCCATATTTCAAAGGGCGATTCTGGGAAAACCAATCGAGTTATCGAAGAAATGTTTGCGGAAATGACTTCCACGGCCCGAAATCTACAAGAAAATGTATTTTTCAAAATTTCGAAAATTTTGATGAAAATTGGTGGAAGATTGCATTAAATCTAAATGAAATATCAAAGGGCGATTCTGGAAAAACCAATGGAGTTATCAAAGAAATGAAAGCGAATATGACTTCTGCGGCCTGAAATCTACAAGAAAATGTATTAAGTAAAATTTCGAAAATTTTGTTGAAAACTGGTCGAAAATTTGGATATTTTGCATATTTTTGAATATTTCAAAGGACGATTCTGGAAAAACCATTGGAGTTATCGAAGAAATGAAAGCCGATATGATTTCTGCGGCCCGAAATCTACAAGAGAAACACGCTATATTGTTGGAATCAACATGTGTTCATGATTTTTTTCAGAATTTTTAATCACTTTTTTTAAAGTGAAATTTTTTCAAGCGTTTCGTCGTTTTGAACCAGTTTTAAAAATTCAAAACAGTAAGTAAGTTATTTGTTGAGATACATAAAAAAATAAGCAATTCAGACCAATTTTAAAAACTCACTTGTCATAAATGTCAATTTTACAATGAGGTATGCCATCATAGTTCTAATTGACTGTGATTATGAATTAATGGCGGTAATGGGAGCTGCAAAAAACGTTTGTAAGCTCAGATAAGACAAAGCTCACGAATCGCCGTAGCTTAATCAGGAATTAAAAAACACCAAAATTTACAAAGTATGTATTTAAACAAAAAATATTTGGTATCGGCACTCCGAAAACGAATGCCTTCTAAACTACCCTTAACAATTCGTTATAATCGACATCAGGATGGCAATCCCGTCCGAAAATATAACAGTACGACACAAGCAACCGCCGTCTCGTTCCGTTATCCACCCTCGACTTCTTCGTCCAACTAAACTGCTTCAACTTCTCCAGGTGCCCTTTTCCCTCCTTCAAGTTAAAAACCCCAAACAGCAACATATTGAGCATTTCGTAGTCATCCGGGATCCGCCTTTTCCGCACCTCTTGCACGAGTTTGTGCGACATCACACCCACCTTCGTCAACCTGCGCAACTCCTCGCTGACGAACTGCTGCAGCTGAATTGCCGTCGAATTGAAGAACATCGAATTCGCCACTTTACCGTTTCTTTTCGTTTTAAAGTAACGACTACCGGACTTCAATTCCGGGACTGGCTCGTACGCGCTGGGTGCGGGAACTTGCGAGTCGAAACTGATGAAGGTCGGTAGAACGTTGTTGAAAACTACATGGTTGTGGTTGGGGGGGTATTGGAGCAAATTCGGGGGTTCAGGCGGAAAGAAATTCTGCTGGTTGGCCACGAATATTCCATCCATGAATGGTTTGATGAACTGGGGGTTGACTTGGTTGTAGTTGTGGCTAGTTTGAGCATAGTTGCCCCGAAATGCTGGTCTTGGTTGGTACACCTGGTTGTTCATGTGGTGATTCGAGGGTGGAGAGAATCGCAGTGGTTTTTGTTGTTTCGTCTCCTCTTTATATATGTCTTCGTAGCTCTTTATGTCGACGTCAGTTGGTGGATAAATCGACTTGTAAAAGCGACAGGAGTGTTCTAAGTGGCCAGAGCGGGCACATCCAGAGCACCATAATTGGTTTTTTTCTTTTAATGATGGTCCGGTTTGTTTGATGAGGGGTCCTTCCGATGTCTAAACAATAATAACAAATTTGTGTATTGTATTAGTGGTTCGGGTGTATTTATTCACTCACTGTTAAGTGGTAGCGTCGCCATAAATCTGGACACGCGTCGGGCAGGTGACCCGGCATGGAACAAATCTGGCATCGAAAGTTTCGGAATTTAAAGCACGAGTTGCAGTAAGTCGTTGCATAGGGGCTTCGCTGACCACACTAAAAGAAAATATTAAAAAATTGTATTTTTTCTGTCTGTTGACAAAATTTGTTTTGTTATTTAAATGTTACAAAATCATATGCTTCTATACTCGTAGTTTATTTGTCCGCCTTTATTTTTATCGCAGACATCTAGACTTATGGAAAAAATTTCAAAATTGTACCGACTATTTTAACATCGTAAATCGTTCATTAAAACTTGTCTATTTATGCCCTCCAAAAACTCAATGACGTCATCTCCAATTTTTTTTGTGTTTCAAGGAGAGGGAACTTCCAAAATAAATTTGAAATCCACATATTTGCAGCCAATTTTCCTCGCCACTAAAGCATCACAAATACCGCATGAATGTCAATGTATATTTTCCGATAATACATTAGCAAACCTTAGGGAAACTTTATAGTCAAAAAATTGGTCCAAGGTACTAGACATGACTCCCTTCAACCCTAAAGTAAGTATAGTCCAATAAATTCAGTTTCCTTCCTTACAAAAATTTAACATTTTAAACGTGTTTTAAGTCATTACAACTGAGATGGGGTGGGTGGGCGGGGTTTATATTTTGCCTTTTACCTTGTATTCTTTGAACAACACAATACTCATTTTTAATTTCTTGTAAAGAAATAAGTATTTTGTAGTTAAGTTCCGCCCCCTTGGTTCACGGCGAATAAAAAAAATCATCACAATTGAGATAGGGCGGGTGGGCGGGCTTACATTTTGCCTTTTTGTTTTAATATGTGTACACTTCTTTTCACAACATGAAACTTAAGACATGTTCAAAATGCAAAATTAGTATAAGGAAATATCGATTTTGCAATAGGCTCCTTCATAAAATTTAAAACATCTGGATATTCCGGTAAAAAATAAAAACGGATTCATAAGCTCCGAATATAGAATCAAGTTATTTTATGAAATTGAAATAACATTCACTGTGCAAAATTTTGAGATGACGTCATCAAATTATTGGTGGCGATAACTAGACAAATTTGATTAGCGTTTTACCATTTTCATGATATTCGTAAACGACGATCCGTCTAAAAAAATCGCCAATAGACCACAGACATAAACGGGGACAATTTTTCCATACTCTAGGGGTCATGAATAATCGAGAAAACATTAAAGTAGCAGTTTGCCGCATAGGCTTTATTACATTATTCCAGATCTTAAAATGTGGCGACTAATTTGTCGATTTTTTTACTTTTAATTGTTCAAGTTTATTATTCCGCATGTTATTGTTTACCATTTAAAAAAATAAATTTAAAAATCACCCCCTACTGAAGTGTGCATGTTACGCTACTGACGGACAGTCCGTCGTCAGATTCTGATGACTCACCATGTTGAACTAAAAATAATCCATCTCTAACAACCCTTGTCCTTCAACACTAGGTAATAGCAATTTGACGCTCAAATGTTTATTTATGTTTATACATCGAAAGAATATCACGTAGAAATTAGTTTGATTTGGATGAATTTGTCTTCTCAAAATACAGGACTAAAACGATTATTAATTAAAACACAATCGAACAAAATGTTCTGAATATTATACGAGCCCTAACAACTAAATGTTCGGACACGTATTCTTTTATACAAAAAAATGTAATTTAATGAAAAAAAAATGTATTTTACAAAAACAAAATTAGAGTAATATATAAGTAGGTATCTTTAATGCAATATTCTCAACAAAAATTGTAATATTATTAACTTAACAAAATTATAACACAACAAGAAACTGATATGAACGAATAAACTTGGCAACTAAATATTCGGACATGAGTATTTTTTTTTACTTAGTATGGTGTAACATCCCCTTTTGCTTTGATTACTGCGCGTATCCTTGCAGGCATAGTACTTACAAGACTTCTGCAGGATTCAGGAGTAAAACTTGCCCAAACTTCGTCGATTTTTGCTTTTAAACCTAAGAGTGTTCGTTGGGGGTTGTTGCGCAAAACGGATTTTATATCGTGCCAAAGTGTCTCAATGACATTTAAGTCAGGGCTGTTCGCAGGCCATGAAAGGACTCTTATATCATGATCCCCAAACCATTTCTTAGTTTTTTTTGCGGTATGACATGATGCACCGTCCTGTTGAAAAATATAATCGTTGTCCGGATACAGTTTTTCAACAGAGGGCAACAAACTGTTTTCTAAAATTTGTTGGTATTTCATGGCGTTAATAGTCGTTTCCACCAATTCATAATTTCCCAACCCTTTAGCTGACATGCATCCCCACACCATTATTCCTTTAGGAAACTTTACAGTTCGTTTTAAACAGTCTTTATTGAACGCTTTATTTTTTGATCTTATCACTCTTCTCCGCAAATCTCCCACGCACACATCAAATTTTGACTCGTCACTAAAAATGACCTTTGACCAATCTTCCATGGTCCATGCCAGCTTAGACTTTGCCCAGTTGTACCTATTTTTCTTTTGATTTGCCGTTATTAAAGGTTTTTCTTTGGCCTGTAACGGCACGGTGGAACAAATGTAAACCAAAAACTTAAAAATTACCTTATAAAAACTTAATCCTGACTTGTGAATCCATTTCCTACAACATTCTCGTGACAGCTTATGCCCTATTTCATCCGTCCATTGTGCTGTTATGTCCCGCAATGTGTTTCTTCGATTTTTTTTACAAAGTTTTACAAGGAGCCTTTGACTTCTTTCTGAAACTAATTTCGGTCTTCCTGAACTTTTTCCTTTAACGTCTAGTCCACCAGTTTCGCGATACTGTGAGATTATATCCGCTACAGTGGACTTTGCTAAATTCAGTTCTTCACTAATTTCCCGAATTTTTTACCTTGGCAATACTTCTTTACAATAAGTGCACGTAATGATTTTTCAAGTGGACGTCCACGAACCATTTTGTTAAAGAATATATATATTTTTCTATGGATCTTACAACACAGTTAGGTAAAGCAGGAAGAGGAGAATGGTATTTATTAACAATCAAACAATTCACACCGCCTACTTAGTGAAAATTAATTTTTTTATTTATTTGTCCGAATAATTAGTTGCCAAAGTGTATTCACTTTTTCTGAAAAATCCACAGTCATATTTGAATTAAAATTCTATGTAAAGTAAAACATTCAACTTTTTTATTAAAAACTATTCTTTGAAATCTTAGCTTCCTATTTTTATGTGATTTGATAATAAAAATTAAAAATTAATTCATAAAGAGTGGTTTTTGAACGCTCCGGTTAGTTTGTCCGAACATTTAGTTGTTAGGGCTCGTAATTCATATTTTATCATTATTATATCATTATAATTTCATAAGTTTTTACAAGATTAATCAAAATCAGTTTTATCTTAATAAACACTAGCCCCGCCCACCCACCCTCTATTTATCAGAGGGTATGTCATTTGCCACAATAAGGGCGGGGCTATAACTTGCTAATATAAGTCTTATTTTGGCAAATGAGATATCCTTTGAGAAAATAGGGGGTGGGTGGGCGGGGCTAGCACTTGCTAAGATAAGACTGAATTTGCCCATATTAATTTTTTTTTCTCTTCTCGTTCCCTATTTTTTCTCAAAAGAATACCATAATGCTTCAAACATATTTCACTCCATAAATTCTTGTACAAAAATATGGACTTTGCAGTTAAGCTTCACCTCCCGGTCTCACGACGAATAAAAAAATTCATCACAATTGAGATGGGGTGGGTGGGTGGGGCTTATCCATTTCAGTAAGAAAATATTTACTTAATATATCAAATCGTCAATTCGAGGTTAAAATTATGTTTTAAGTATTATGTTGTTGAAAGTGAATTCTATAATTAAGAAAATGAAGCCAATGATTAAGCCCCACCCACCCGCCCCTATCTCGATTGTGACGAATTTTTCATTTATTGTCATTTCGAAAGAGGGGGCTTAATTATAAAATCCACATTCCTTTAGAAAAATTTACCATTTTCAAGATGTTTTAAGTGTCTTAGATGACTATACGTATATTAAGGAAAACATTGGTCAAAAGTTGTTTCGCCAGAATTTTCCTCGCGCCTAAAGTAGTTTCTCTTTTAGTTTCCTTTTTCAATTAATACATTTGGTTTTCTTTGTATAATAAGGATTTTATAATTAAGCTCCGCTCCTCGACTTACGACAAATAAAAAAAATCATCACAATTGAGACAAGGTGGGCGGGCGGGGCTTATATTGTGCCTTTTTTTTTTTCTTAATATACTAGCCATCTTTTCACAAGAAATTTAGAACATGGTTAAAATGATACATTTTTGCATGGAAATATGGATTTTGCAATTATGGGGCGGAGCCTAATTGTAAAATCGATATTTCCAAATTTTCCATTTTAAATATGTTTTAAGTTTGATGTGGTGAAAAGAAGTCCACACATATTAAAACAAAAAAGCAAATTGTAAGCCCGCCCACCCACCCTATCTCAATTGTGATGATTTTTTATTCGCCGAAGAAGAACACAAGAAATTAAAAACATGTTTTTGAGTATCGTATTGTTCAAAGAATATTATGTATATTAAGGGAAAAAGACAAAATATTAATTGCCCCTTGTAAAATCATTATGTTTTAACATTATTGTATAATTGCAATTTCACAAGTTTTTACAAGATTAATCAAAATCAGTTTTATCTTAACAAATACTAGGCCCGCCCACCCGCCCCTTATTTTCCCAGAGGATGTCATTTGCCAAAATCAGTCTTTTCTTACCAAGTACTAGCCCCGCCCACTCGCCCCCTATTTTCCCAGAGGATGTCATTTGCCAAAATCAGTCTTATCTTACCAAGTAGTAGTCCCGCCCACCCGCCCTCTATTTATCAGAGGGTATGTCACTTGCCAAAATAAGACTTATCGGGCGGGGCGGGGCTATAACTTGCTAGTATAAGTCTTATTTTGGCAAATGCCATCCTCTCTGAGAAAATAGGGGGTGGGTGGGCGGGGCTAGTACTTGGTAAGATAAGACTGATTTTGGCAAATGCCACATTCTTTGAGAAAATGGGGGCGGGTGGGCGGGGCTAGTATTTCCTAAGATAAGACTGATT